TGTGCTTGGCCTAAGCATGCTGCACTAAGTACTTCCCACCCCACTCCTCATCAGGAATTGTAGTCACCTCTGAAAGTACCCAAGGGTCCAGTTTCTGTCCTCTGGATCAAGCCACTCAAGTGAGAGCTGGGGACATGGATTTCACCAGTGGCCCAGGAACAGGACTGTCCTTGTCCTAGAGACCACCGTCTGTGCTGAGAATCAGGTCACTGTCTCAATGGTAAAGACGCCATGGGGGACCTGCGACCACATCATTAGCTGAGGAGAAACCAGTCTGATCTAGATGTAGAGCCAGGACAGGTGCCTTTCTGAGCTTCACCGTGTGAACCTGAGCAAGCCAGGGAGCTGGGTCTGGGAGCCAGCGACAAGAAAGCAGGGCCCAGGGTGCTGGAGGCTCTTGCTGCCCTTCCTGGTCCTACTCTGTCCTAACTTACGGTGGCCTTTTTGGTGCCGTTTTCATTTTTCCTCTCCTGACTGCCACCCTCTGTCGTAAGATCTTTTTGGAATAGGGGGAGGGGTGAAAACACAGATGGATGGATAGGCGGCTGGGTGGATGGACAGACGGACCTCCATCGTCCCACCTACCCGGGACTGGTGCTCAGAGCAAATGCCAACCAGGGTGCGCAAGGCCGCCAGCATGAGGTCCGTCTCTCCTGTGTCCAGCAGGCGCTGCAGGAGCTGAACCCCATTGTTCCGGAAGATCTTCTCAGCTCCAGCATCCTCCCGCGCCAACACCACCAGGTTCTGAGAAGCCTGTGTCAGAGGAGGTGCACTGTGACTGTGACACTGCACCCAGCACAGGGCGCAGCAAGCAGAAGCCCTGAGCCCTGGACTTCACAGCTCCCACTTCGCAGCTGAGTGACAGTGGCCATAAACTAAACTTCAGTTGCTTACAGAGAAAGAATCTGCTCTTGGGGTTGACAGCAAGAGGAAATGAGTCCTTGTGAACAGAGTCCCTGGCAGAGGCTAAAGGACAGGGCAGTGCCCAGTCACCTCTGTATACCCAGCTCTGGCACAGCCCCTGGCCAGGGGCACTGTGAACGGGTCCCCTTCCCTGGTTCACACCAGGCCCTCAGATGCCCACGTGGGACACGTGGCTGGGCCAGCAAGCAACTGAGGCCCACGCTGGTGAATGAGGCCTAGGATGACGGCTGTGGCGGGGGCTCAGCCCGCTGGTCTGGGCGAGGGATGTACCTTCTGCTTTTTCTCAGTGCCTTTCTCTTCTGGGTCCAGCAGGATCTGGAACATCTGCTCTACCTTGGCATCTGTTGAGGACATGTATCGCACCTACAAGGAGCCAGCAAGATGCAGAAGAAGTTACCATTTCTGGTAACTTCTTCGGAGACAGCGTGTCCCTGCTCGTTCTTCCTGGCTCCCTGAGGCCTGGTTCCCATCTCTGGGCAGCCAGGAGGACGGCTGGGCTCAGGCCCAGCACCATACCATGCTGGGCAGGAACAGACTTGCGAGGAGCCTCTCTTAACTTCCTGTGGTCATTTTCCTCTCTGACCTACTTTCTGCTTGGTCACTAGGACAACACTGCTGCTCTAGGCAGTGCCATATAGGAAGATCTATGCACGTGCTGCTACAGCACTGAGCTCGGTGTTTATGTCTTGCAGACAGCTGCTAACATTCCCTTGGGTTCCTGCTTTGGCTTTTTTTTTTTTTTTTTGATTTTCTGAGACGGTCTCACTATGCAGTTCAGAATGGTCTTGCACTTGTATGTACCCAAGGCTGGCCTTGAACTCATGGTGATTCTTCTGCCTCGGCTTTCTAAGTACTGGGATTACAGATGTGCACCATCACTCCCAGCCAGAATTCTCTTAGCAGTTTTAAAAAATAATCTGCATGGGCAAGACCATCCTAAACCTACTCCCCTCCCCTCCCAGGGTCCTGGACACAGATAGCGGCATAAGCCCAGAATGTACCACTCCCTCTTCCCCCTTTGCATCCACGGCAAACATGACTAATGGATCACAGCATGGCCCCTGGCTAACCTCAGAAAATCTGCTTCCTAACCCTACTCAACACAGAACTCTAGGCAGCGGCTGCCACTCAGAATTGGCACTGAAAGGAAAGCTATTTGCTTACCCAAGTTTCAACCTTTCAATAAACTGGTAAGTTCGTAGTTGTTTCCACTGTGACAGTGTTTTCAGTGTCATTGGCCAAATTATTTGGTTAATTCAAGCTTGTTATAGCTCACAATGGTCTTTCGGTTCATTTTTACGACTGAATTTAAAAATACATCTACTACAATAGAGAGGTGCAGTGGCACAAAACTGTAACTCCTACTTTTTTTTTTTTTTTTCTTTTTTGGTTTTTTTTCTGGTACCGGGAATCACACTCACGACCTTGCACTTGCCAGGCAGGTGCTGTGCCGCTGAGCTAAATCCCCAGCCCCTACTCCTACTATTTAGGAGGCTGAGGCAGAGAATCGTAAGTTTGAGCCTGGGGAACTTAGCAAGACCCTGTCTCCAAAAAAAAAAAAAAAAAGGAGTCAGGCATGCCTGTAATCCCAGCACTCTGGGGGGCTGAAGGAGAAGGATTGCAAGTTCAAGCCTAATGTGGGAAATTTAGTGAAACCCTATTTCAGAATAAAAAATAAAAATAAAAAGGCCTGAGATACAGCTCAGTGTGAAGGCGCTGGTTTCAATCTCTAATGTCTCTTTTAAATATGATTGATCTATACATATATATCCCATAAAAAAGCAGAAACAAGATATATACCATAACAATCTCTTAATTTAAAAATACAATTAGAGACAAATGAGCCTCCTTTGCAAAGGAGGCTCAATCTCATTCCTTTCCCCAAGAGTCACAAAGATATCATTTTGATGTATAAATTTTAAAATACTTTTCATTTATATTTACTGGTATTTACCCAAGCATACCCCCAAAAAACACTATTATTTCAGGTATGAATTTAGAGATCATTTCACCATAAATAACATCTCACTTATGTGTTATTGTATATCTTGCATTTCTTTCACTCAAAAAGTATCAAAGAACTTTTTATGTAAATACATGGGGACCTCCCTCTTATCATCAACTGCAACCTAGGCGTCTGTAATAAGAACATCACCCAGCTTGCTTAGCTGTTCTGCTATTACTGGGCATGTATGCAAGTTCCAAGTTTTCCTTACTTCAAACAAGGCTGAGGGGCTGGGGATTTAGCTCAGCGGCAAAAGTGCCTGCCCGGCAAGCGCAAGGTCGTGAGTTCGGCTCCCGGTACCGGAGAAAAACCAAAAAAAAAAAAAGAAACAAGGCTGAGATAAATATGCACATGCCTACTTGGGCACATGAATAAGGGTTCCTATAGGGTAACAGCATACAAACTGGGTCATAGGATATATTCATTCAAAATTTTAATACAGGGGTTGGAGCTATAGCTCAGCGTGGTGCACTTGCCTAACCTAAGTGAGGCCCTGGGTTAATCCCCAGCAAATAAACAGATGTATAAACACTGTAAAAGACATGGAAACATACTCTCCAGTGCAGCTGTACCAATTTAACCTGCCCCCAGCAGTCATAACCGGCCCTGTGCCTGGAACCTCACCATTGGTGCCTGCCTCTCCTCACGAAATATACAAACTTTACATGTTTGCAAAACAGACCGCCGAAAGACAGTGTCACACGGTTGTTTTAAACCACCGGTGAAGCTAAGCATCATCCTACGCTCATTTGCCACCAGTAGCTATTCTCCCTAGAGCTGCTCCTACAGCCCCGACCCAGGTTCCTCTGCCACCAGGTCAGTACCCTGAGCTCTCCCGAGTTCCTCCTACCTTCTCCTGAATCTGCCCCCCAATGCTCCGCAGGGCCTCCTGAAAAACTTTGTTCTTGGGCTCGAGGCTCACACATCGCTGCAGGTCAAGGACAGCCTGGTCCAGGCGGCCCAGCTTCTCTAGGGCTTGACTCCGCCGGTAAAGTGCTTTAACATCGCCGCCGTCCTCGTCAATGGCTGAGCACAAACAGGAGCTCTGTCAGCACCCGAGAGGCCACCGTCTCCAGGCAAGAGCAGTAGGGAAAGATCTCGAGGGCGCGAGGAAGGTGGGGAGACGGAAGTGGGGCTCGGTACTCCAGCCTCAAAAGGTGAGGACAGCTGCAGAGAAGGAAATGCCCGAGAAAGAGGGAAAGAAAGAAGGCAAGTGTGTCTCAGGGCCAACGCAGAAGATGGAGCGGTGGTCCCAGAGTCCCTGCCCGCCACAGAAGCCCCACCCATGGCTGCACGCCAGGCCCATTCCCCTACCTTTAGACGCCTCTGTTTCAGCTTTCTCATACTCCTCCTGTAAGAGCAAGATCAGGGGCCTGAGACAAGTCATCGCCCTTCCCAGGCCCCAACCAGCAGCAGGAGGACTTGTTCTTCAGCCACCCGATCGATGCCCTTCCACCCTGAGGCCCAAGGCACCGGCCACCGTGAGCGGCCAGGGAAAGTGAGCGTCCAGCCGGCCGGGCAAGCAGGGGGACGCTGGCCCCGGCCCTCACCAGCTTGAGGTGGCAGGCGGCCCGGTTCCGGTGCAGGACGGCCTGGTCCTGGGGCGTGGCGCCCAGACCCAGGGCCTGGGTGTAGGCCGTCAGGGCGCCCTCGTAGTCCCCGCATTTGAAAAGCTCGTTGCCCTCTTTGCGCAGCTGCTCCGCCGAGCTGGCCTAAGGGGAAGGAGTGGGCACGTCGGGGGGGAGCGCAGGGGAGCTACGAGGGGAGGAGGGGAGAGTCCCACGGAAGGCAAGGGATGGGGCCGAGGGAAGCACGGCAATGGGCAAGCAGGTGCGAAGGAGTGACGGGCGGGAGGGCGAGTACGCACCCCGGGGACGGTGGCCCGGGGCTCGGGGGTCCGGGGACCACTCACAGTCATCTCCGCGATGAAGCCCGGGCCCGCGCAGGCGCAGCGTCTGCGGCTGGGGCTGGGGACGCGCACGCTGGAAGCCCCGCCCCTCCTGCGTCAGAGGCGGGGCCAGAGGGGTGGGGCCAAGGAGCGAGAGGCCCGGCCCGCAGGCACAGAGGAGGCTCGGGCTCGGACTCGTCTAGTCTATTCCCACCGGGACCTGCAGGGGGCGCGCGGTGGAGGACGAACGGCTAGGCGCGCGGCCGCTGCCGCTTTTGCCCCGCCGGCGACCGCGATAGAAGTGCACGAAGTCAGCGGTCACCAGGGCCACCAGCAGCAGGCTGTAGAGGCCCAGCGCTAAGAGCGAGCCTGCGCCCCTGTGGGAGAGGGGAGGGAGAGTATTAGGATCGTGCAAAATGCAGGATCCCAGCCCTAGACAAATGCAGATTTGCATCACACATTTACAGACAAATATAGGAGCTCACAGGTATCCTGAGCCGCCCACTCTAATGTGTGTAATCTACAGAGTACTTGATTTTCATTGTTGACAGCAAGACCCACCTCTGCGCCCCCAACACATACCACGGACCTCTCTGTTACCTGCCTGCTTTCACAGCCTCCTGACCAGCCCCCTCTAGTACTGGGGATTGAACCCAGGGCCTTGGCATGGAGCTATATCCCGAGCCCTTTTGTATTTTGAGACAGGGCCTGGGCCAAGTCGCTAAGTTGCCCAGTCTGAAAGTGAATTTGTGGTCTTCCTGCCTCAGCCTCCCAGAATGCTGGGAATACAGGTGTGCCTGGCTACCTGCACAGTTTTTTGAGATCAGGATTTATGTGATTGTCCGCTTTGCTCACTAATCTGTAAGTTACAAGCCTCCCTGTCCCGGAATTTAGAAACAGAGCTAAAGATACTGGACCGCCCCGGCAGCGTCCCTGTGCCTACAGGGTTGCAGCTCTCACCTGAGGACGCGCGGGGGTGGAACAGCCGACAGGTTGACCTTGTACAGGGCCTCAAATTCAGCGCGCGTGCAGCAGGAGCCCCCTGCAGCCTGCAGGTGGCAACAGTAGGCCTCTTCCCGAGAATCAGAGAGCCGAGGACAGAAGAAACCAGGGTGGTGGCGGCCATCGGCATCCCGGGTGGCATGGCACAAGTAGGGGTGTTGGACTAGCGCTGAAGAGAACGGCAAGAGGGCTGGAGACACACGAGCAGATGGCACCTGCCCACACCCCACTGTACTAGATCAGCCCCTCCGGAAGAGAAGGGCAGCTCCCTCCCTCCTCCCAGGGCCCGACCACAAGGGGAGTAAGACACCGTACCTGAGCGAGAGGTGGGCCGGGCCAGGGTCCTCCAGCTGAACAGCAGCAGCAGCCTCAGGGACAGACCTGTCAGCAAGAGCCCCGGCCTCTTCCTCTGGGAGCTCATGAGAGTCACCTGCACCTCAACCCTGCTCCTAGCAGCCCCAGCATCTGTCTGTCTAAATCAAGGCTGCAGACAGTAAGGAATTAAAAATCAAAGAGGCTTCTCAGGCACCATTAACACAAACCTGAGGCTTCTCTACCCAAGTCTTGACCATAGGCTTCTAGAGAAACAGAAGCAACTCCTCGGCCGTCATCTGCTGGAAAATGCAGGGCCTGTGGCTCCCATCTGTCCAGGGTTTTCTGAGCTGAGGGGGAGAAGGCTCAGAGGATGGAGGAGGGCATGATGGGTGGGAGAGGAGTTGAGCAGTCCCCTGGAAGATCACACAAGCGCTCAGAAGCAAACATGTTGCTCTCTCACCACTCTCCAGCTTCTGGGCTGTTGTGAAGCCCTGGGGACTCTGACAGCTCCATTTCATGCCCCAGAGACCTCAGTTCCAGCTGTGGGACTTCCCTCCCTAGCCACACAACGTGGCAACCACCAAGCCCAGGTGAAAACCAAGGACGAGGCCTTCCACTAGCTTCCCCCGAGTCTCAGCTCCCCCGGCTAACAAGCCGAAAGCAGAAGCTACCTGTCTGACTGGCGCACACTTAGCAACTGTCTGTCTCCATCTCTCAGGTGCTACAGGGCTTTAAGGGAAAAGTCCTGGCTAAGGGGTCCCAACAGATCAACTTGGCCACCCTTCCTCAAATGCTAATCAAGGAAGGAGATAAGCAGTGTTGAAGGGCAGGAGAGGAGCTTTAATCAGCAAGGCTGTGCTGGGAGGACAGAGAGAGATTCTTGTTTTGTTTTGTTTTTGAGACAGGGTCTCACTGTGTAGCCCAGCCTAGCCTTGGACTCATGGCTAACCCCCTGCCTCAGCCTCCCAGGTGCTGGGATTATGGGCATGCACCACCACGCATGACTTAGGCAGTGGTTTATGATTTGAAAAAAACTTGGGGTTTTTTGCAAAGAGGCACAAAGGTCAGGGTTGGGGTACATAGCTGGAGGTCTGCATAGCTGTAAGTATGTTTAACCCTGGTGAAACCTGGTCTGGCTGATGGTATCTCCGGCCTTGTTGGGGAGAGACAGCATCACTTGAGGGGATGATGCAGTTCCCGGTTCCCGTCACTGTCACAGTGTAATTGTTCCAGTTTAGGGGGGCTGCCCTCATCATGGGGCGGGTTAGGAGACCTCAGTTTTCCTGGAATCTGAGGTGACTGTACGTTTAGGACAGTGACTGGTGATCCTAAGCATGAGTCCAAGGAATCTAGAACTGGATGCTGTAAAAGCTGGGAGTTGGATGTCCCCGCAAATTCTGAAAATTACTTCAGTTACTCTGGGTGTGGTTGATCTTGAAGGACAATGGAACAAGCTAGGTGAGTTTCGGGCCAATAAACCATGCATTGCTACTTTTTAGATAGACGCTCTTTAAGTGTTTAACATACCTACATGCAAAGCTGAGCAGGGATCTGACTCAAAGTTATAAGATAATAAAGTAAACAGATACAAAAAGGCAGGCAGAGCTGGGCATGGTGGCCCAGGTGTGTATTCCCAGCACTCACAAGGCTGAGGCAGGATTACTGTGAATTAATACCAGTCTGAGTAATTCAAGGCCAGCCTGGAATACACAGTGAGACCTTGTCTCAAAAATAAATAAAACAGGGCTGGGGATTTACCTCAGTGGCACAGTGCCTGCCTGGCAAATGTGAGGTCCTGAGTTCGATTTCCAGGATCCCCCCCAAAAAATAAAATAAGAAGAAAGGCAGAGATACTAAGCTTCATCCTACTTTTAGTTACCCATTGCGCACCTGTAGATCGGTGTTAGAAAGGAAGCCCTTTAGGGGCTCTCCAGGTCTCTTATGCCTCATATCTCATAGCTGCCATTTCTAAGGCAGGGCATTTCCCCAGGAGGCCCAAGGCCACCAGCCCGCAGCGTTGTTATTCCAGTGCTTACCCAAGCCAGGCAACAAGGTGCTCCCAGAACAGCTGGAAAAGAACTCATCCCCCGAGGAACCCCAGCAGGTGCCCGGGGACTAAAGCAGAAGCCTTACAGCACAAGAAAGCAGTGCAAAGTTTGTTCTAGCACTAAGAACAGAGACAGTTCCCGCGGAAACATCGCTGATGCCCGGGAACCTGAATCTGAAGCAGTTACGCAGGGATCCCATATCAAGACTCATTTTCCCCCAAAACTCAGGCCGTACCTTCTCTTGGGCCCACAGTAACAGGGCCGGAAGCTGCAGGAGTAACTATTTTTACAGCACTTTGAAAGTGTCCGCTGCATGGACAGATTGATGATTGCCTCTCTCTTCTGGGAGGGCTCTTTTTATCAATGTAGACCCCACAGTCCCCTGTGGCTTCCAGCCTTCAACTCAGGGGCACACCGTGAGGCCACTGCCGGATTTCTCCTTTGTCCCCGCCGCTGTCCAAGACCGTGGGCTCCCAGAGAGCCAGGCTGAACGACGGCCGCGGTATTGCAGGATCTCCCCACACCAGTTTTCACTGTGCTTTGGACCTTAGTCCGGGAAGGGAATCAAAGTTGCAGCAATCCCTCCGGCCTCCGGCACGCTAGGGGGCGCTACAGACGCTCCTCCGACTCACCTACTACAGTCCCCTGCGCCACTCGCGCGATGGGCTCAGAGATCGCGCAGCTGTTGGAGGCTGCAGATTTCGCGGCTCGAAAGCACCGACACCAGAGACGGAAGGATCCTGAAGGGACCCCCTACATCAACCACCCCATCGGTGGGCGCGCTGGCCTGGGAGCAAATCTTCGTGGCGCTTGAGGGGTGGTGGGGACCGGGAAGGGACAGCGAAGGGCACGCACCTGAGCGTCTCTTATGTTCCAAGCTTTGTGCCAGGCACCGATGTGCGGTGTGCCGTTTAACGCCATCCCAGAGGGGTAGGCACGACAGTTGGCTGAAGGAGAGGTTAAGGGATTTACCCCCAGTCACCCAGTAAGTGAGAGGCCAGAGCCACAATATTGCGGCGCCCTCCGGTCTGACTTCCTGCTTTGCCCCCCGCCAGGTGTGGCTCGGATCCTGACCCACGAGGCAGGAATCACTGACATTGTGGTGTTACAGGTAACGGTGCCCCTTGGCTGCCAGGAAGCTCGGGTGGGTATCAGGAGTCCTGTTCAGCAGCGGGCACCCATCGGCTGGCATCACAGGGCTGATGGGGAGCTTGTCTCCAGGCGGCTCTGCTCCACGACACCGTGGAAGACACAGACACCACCCTGGATGAGGTGGAGCTGCACTTTGGCACCCAGGTGCGGCGCTTGGTGGAGGAGGTGACAGATGACAAGACTCTGCCCAAGCTGGAGAGGAAGCGGCAGCAGGTGGAGCAAGCACCACACAGCAGCCCAGGCGCCAAGCTGGTGAAGCTGGCAGACAAGCTCTACAACCTGAGAGACCTGAACCGCTGCACTCCGGCGGGTACGCTCCCCACTGGCTCTGAGGGAGGGAAGGGTTGTCTCCCTTCTGTAGACAGGTTGGTCAATTCCCCCCCAAAAAGCCTGGGCATACTTAATTCCCCAAAACAATTCTCCTAAAGTAGGCTTTTCCTCTCCCTAATAAAACATTGCTACCTTTATTTAAAACAAAACACGACTTACAAACTGTGAGACAACAGGTAGAGAGCCCTTTTAGGGGCATCATTTATTTACATTAAATTTAACACCGTTTCTCGGTGTGGTGGCTCACGCCTGTAATCCCAGCACTCGGGAGGCTGAGGCAGGAGGATCTTTGCAAATTCGAGGCCAGCCTGGGCTACCAAGTGAGTTGAAGACCAGCTTGAACTGCGTAGCAAGAAACTGTCTCAAAAAAGACAAAATAATAATAATAATAATAAAACACTGTTAGCAGTTCAGAGACACAGATCAAGAATTAAATTAGTAGAACAAAACAACTAAAAATATATCACAATAACAATTAAGGACAAATGCCTGACAATACCGGTAGTGGAATCCATGATTGACGCAGTTAAATCCCTTATCATCCCACTGTGTCCTGTGTGCCCTTAGCAATCCATGTGGTGCCCTCCTGACGCCGCATACACCTGCAGAGCATAACCTTTGGTATAAATGTCATGTGAGGGCCGGGGATATAGCTCATCAGCACAGCACCTGCCTGGCAAGTGTGAGGTCATGAGTTTGATTCCCAGTACCAAAAAACAAAACAAACAAACATTATGTGAGTTTTAAGCAGTCGGAATTAGCATGTTTTAGGACAAAGTTCTATCATCATCATGAGGTGTTTGAACTTTTTGTCAAGCACGCACAAAATCAGGGTTTCTCCACTAAGGATGGTAACAGAATCAGTAGAATGGGCTTCTTTTCTAAGGTGAACACACAGTAGTGGGACCAACTGAAGCTTTGAGGGCAGATTATCCCATGGGGAACTCCTCCCGGCCCTGCACCAAGCCCTCCGGCAGGCGGGTGGGAGGCCGCGCTGTCCCTGGCGCCCTGTGAGCAGGATTCTCTCCGCTCTCACAGGATGGTCAGAACATCGTGTCCAGGAGTACTTCGAGTGGGCAGCTCAGGTGGTGAAGGGGCTTCAGGGGACCAACCAGCAGCTTGAAGAAGCTCTGAAGCAGCTGTTTAAGGAGCGAGGGCTGACACTCTGAGTGGTGCCTGGAGCCACCTGGAGGCTGGGCTCCAAGCTCACCCAGGCCACTCCAGTTCGGTGCCTCCTCAGCCCCGATGTCAAAGCTGAAAGCCACGTGCATTGCTCTGAAGGTCTCCCACGAACTAAACTGAGCCTCGGATGTGCGGATCAGATGTACCCCATCCATTTTGACAGTCTGGTTGCTGTTTTGCATGGTGGGCTCTCTAGCCGCTCAGGGACTTGCCGTGTTTAAACACTGGTTTATAAGTCATTATGGAAAATAAAGCATTTTGGGTAAAAGGTATAAATTGCCTCTATTCCTCTGTCTCCGGCCTCCTAAATGGGGGTCGGGTATGCGGGTTGCCTGTTGTCCCCCAGCAAGACATGATGCTAATAATGTACCTCAACCCGTCTGAGCCTGGCTTCCACAGCAGTGGTGGATTGTGTGGTTTTACCAAGGTCTGATTATGTGACATTCCAGAAGGAGCCTGACATGCGGACGCTCATGAAGGGGTCCCCATTAGGATAGCGGGGAGGGATGACAGGCGCATTGGAAAGGTCCTGGCCGGGTGTGGGAGAGACTCCAGCAGCCACATGATAAGGCCTGTGGAGGACTTCCGGCCTCCAGTGTCCTAAACAGCCACAGAAACTCGGTGATTGGCAGCTTCTCTCTGCGCGGAGACCACAGGGCAGGACTCCAGTTGCTAAGCAGCAGGAACTTCCGGGTACTCCAGCAACTGTCCCTGGAGCGGACCTGCCCTCGGAGGCCGGCTGGAGGCAGAGTCTGGAGTGGGCAGTGTCCGTCACAAGGGGACACTAAGTAGCTGAGGTGTAAGCTTCCGTGAAAAGCAATCGGTTAGAGGACAAGGAAATTTAGGTCAGATGGACCACGATGGTTATTTGCCCAAAAGAAGGTCTCACAATGGGGTTTTGCAAAAAAATAGGTACAGGGCAGCAAAAAAAGGCTGGTTTTAAAAGAAAACAAGTTTCAGGATGATCTCAGATAAAAGGATGAACGATGTTCGGTGTAATCCTTTTAAAGTACACCAGGCTATGGTGCCTTCTGGTTTAAAACTTAAAAAAAAAAATGTTTTGCTGGAGTGAAATTTTTTTTTTTTTTAAAACTTCTTTACACTTAAGAATATACCTCCCAGGCCAGGCCTGGAGGCAGGAGGATTGCCAAGTGTTGGAGGCCAGCCTAAAGGCCCAACCTCTTAATATTACCACATTGGAGACTGGGTTTCAACATGAATTCTGCAGGGGCACAAACAGCGCAGCGTTCTTACTAGGAAACCTATGTATTTACTCCTCCCCTTCATGACCTTCTCATCTTCAACCCTGCTACATTCCAAGTGCTAAGAAGTCAGCTCCTGTTCTACTTAAACTTCCTGAGCCTCGCCTGCCCTAATTCCAGGACAGTCATTTTGTTTGTTTGTTTTTGTCTTTTTGAGACAGGGTCTCAATATGCAGTTCAGGCTGGCCTTGAGCTCACTTTGAAGCCCAGGCTGGTCAAACTCACAACAATCCTCCTGCCTCAGCCTCCCAGGTGCTGGGATTATAGGCATGTACCACAACGCCTGGTAGGACACCATTTTTAATTGATTTATCCTCAGGGAGGTCCAAACTTGGAACCCAAATGGTTGGTTGATCTTGGTCATGATCTGAATTTACTTCCCACTTTCCCTAGGTGAAACTGAGGTGTGTTGGGAAGGATTTTTCTGTCATCCTTCGCTATGATGACCCTTGTTGTCCTTGCATACCTTTTTGTTCCTGGGTAAGCAGGTGACGTTCCTGTTAGAGATGTAATGCTGTCTGTGCAGGTGTTCAAGCGTATACCCGTGCCCTAAGCAAGCCACCCCCAAATGTTCTCTGGGCCTGATCACCCTGCACCCCAACACCCAGCTCTTATGTGGTGGAGGGTTGCAGGAGGGAACAGAATTTTATCCATTTCCAGTGGCTAAAGTTGTTTGTGTTGTGTCCTGGTTCCAGTTTTGTCATCCTCAGAACTGTGGCCTCAGCCCCGGAGCTCCATGGTTAAGAGTTGCTGCTTGCCTTAAAATAGACCTATTTTCAAATTATGTGCTTACCTGGGTGCTTGTTAAAATAGAAGTTCTTTCGCCCCTACCCCAACAGACTGGTTCAAACGCTGTGCCAGGATCCTTTATTCTTCCTGTGCATGAGAGCGAGATTTTGTCTCTTGCTCTGGTTACACATCAGTTTCAGCGCAGCCATGACTCTGTCCTACATGTCACTGCAACGCCCAGGCTAAAGGAGAAGCTCTTAGGAGGCTGCATGCGCGCGTGCATGTGTGTTACTGGGGACTGACCCCAGGGCCTTGTGCATGCTAGACAAGCACTCTAGCACTAAGCTACAGCCCCAGTTCTTTTAAAAATTTTGAGACAACAGTCTCATTAAGATGCCCAGGCTGTGCTCGAACTTTTTTTTTTTTTTTTGAGACAGGGTCTTGCTCTGTGGTTCAGGCTGGCCTTGAGCTCACTTTGTAGCCCAGGCTGGTCTTGAACTTGCAATGATCCTCCTGCCTCAGCCTCCCGAGTGCTGGGATTACAGGGGTGCACCACCACGCCCAGTTTGCCCTCGTTCTCCTCGCTCCCCCTGTACCAGGAGTCGAACTCACGACCTTGCGCTTGTCAGGCAGGTGCTGTGCCACTGAGCTAAATCCCCAGTCCCTGCCCTCAAACTTTAAATTTGCCTGCTTCTGCCTCCTGAGTAGCTGAGATTAGAGCCATGTGTTACCATGCCTGCCTGAACTTTCCATAAGCTATTCTGGTGACACTGGGCCACATTTTGAACCCTGCTTAACTGATTTTAAAAGGCTAGTGTGCAGCATTAAACATAGGTCTTGTTAGATGAATAACTTCATTGCACACATAAGACCTCCAGGGCCAAGCATATAGCTCAGCAGCATAAGCACCTGCTTGGCAAGTGCAAGGTCTTGAGTTCAATTCCCAGTACAAAAAAAAAGAAAGACCTCCAAAGATAATATTCTTTATTCTGCTAATTTAAGGGTTCATAGATTCTCGTGGTAACATTTGCTCTGATTACTTAGCATCATTTACTAATATTATAGCTCGCATTTGTGTAGCTCTTCTCCGGCCCATGCATTACCTCAGCACTTCCAATTGATCATCTTATTTCCCGCACTGTGAGATGGGCAGGACTCCAGTTGCTGAGGCTCCAAGGACTCTCAGATCTGCAGGAACTCAGCTCCGCTACTCTCAAGGTGTCTTCAGGCGGCTGCCTGGCAGGCCCCAGTGACTCAGATCCCACAGCAAGCTTTTCTCCTAAATTGTACTGATGTTTTGTATGCGCTGGAAATGTTTCTGCCTGTGTCTGACATCTATCTTCTGACTTTGATGCTTCCTACAGCACAAAACATTTTCAGTATTTTGTGTGTGTCTGTGTGTGGTAAAACCTGTTATCTTTTCCTTTACTATGTCTCCTCTTAGGTTTCATGTTTAGAAAAGACTTTCCCACATCACAGGTATAAAAATATTTTTTCTTGAGTCATTTTGTCATTTTATTTTGTTTTTTTTCCCTTTAGAACGAATTTTTGCAGAAACCGAGGTAGAGGTCTAACTCTAATAGATAGCTAGTTGTCTCAAAGTACTGTTTATTAAATAATCCATTTTTTCCCCACTTAAAACCCTTTGTATTGCATACAAAATTCTTTCGTTCCAGGATCTTTTTCTGGACTCTCCATGCTGTCCCCTGGGTCTGTCTGACACAGTCCGTTGCACTGATTGAATCCATGCTTGCAGGAAAGTCCTCTGGGAAACCTGGTAGGACGTCCTTTTCCCCACTCAGCCCCACTGCAAACCCTGTCCACTGCCACTCAGCACGGTCTTGGGTTCACCTGCCTTTACTCTTCCCAATGAGCTTCAGAGCCAGTTGAATCCCAAAAAGCATTCAATCTTGCCAAAATTACAGAGAATTTATGGGCTGAAGTAGGGAGAACCAAGATCCTTACAGAAACGTGCAGCAGTGCATCAACTTACGGAAAGCTGTTAGTAGGTCTTCTTGATTCTCTTAGATTTTACCAGTAGGCAGCTTTATTGTCTACAAATAATGGAATATACTTCTTCCCTATCCCCTCATCGGTCTTACTGCACGGGTGAGAGATGCCACGACACCAAGATGGCAGTACCCCCCCGCCGGTTCCTGGCTCACATGGGACGCCTGTGGTGTCCGACTCTTTAGATGCCTGAGAGACCTGTATGTAGATTAGGGTGTTTCTTCTTAGTCTTGGTAAGAGTTGTAATAAGGGATAGATTATAAATGTCACCAAGTATCTTTTCCGCATCTGAAGAGACTCACAAATTTTTCTCTATTGATTGAAGCTAAAATAAAGGCTCATGAGCAGTCCTACTGCCTCCTAATTTAGCCTCCATGTCCTTGGTCTGTGCCAGGAACGGAACACTTTTGCCCAAGGATGGGCCCGAGGTGAAGCCGCAGGCCTGCCCAGGGCACAGCGCCAGATGCTGTGCCAAGCTGCCCAGGTCTGTGGGGTCTTAGAGGCTCGATTTCTTTCCTAGGAAAGGAAATTTTCTAGGGCCAAACCCCCAGCACAGGAAGGAGTTTTTGGGGGGACAGCGGATGAATTAAAGGGAACAAAGGGGTACGGTAGGGAGGAAGGCCCCCTCCCCAGGCCCTTGCCACTACCCCACCACACAAGTCAACACACAGAGCCAGTGCCAGTCTGAAGTGGGGGTTTTGGTACCTGAAGTGTCCTAAGACTTCCGTTCACATGCCTAACAAGCCCTTCCGGTCATGCAGGCCCAGTGGTGGTGAGAGCAGAGACTCACAGAAAGCACCGAGGCCCTCAGGCTCTTAGGAGAAAGAGAGATTCCTCTTCCTCCTCCACCTCACTGTCAACTGTGGGTCACCATTTTCTCCCCAGAACCACCCTCATCCTGCTCCTCACACCAGGACAGGTGGCCTCTACATCACCACAGGACCCCCACAGCCAGCCCTTGCCAACAATTACCTACACGGGCCACCACCCAGTTAGCCTCCGTCTGCCCCTGTGCCTCCTATATCCCGTCCTGGGAAAAGGGTGGGAGCCTGAGCTGGGGCCCAGCGGGGCAGCCACACACAGTCCACAGGAGAGCCTGGCATAGCCCATCCTGACCAAGGCCCTCGTCTTCAACACCTCACCGTGCCTGCCCCACCTACCCACGGCTGGCTGTGCGGGTTGCCTCGAACACAGAAGCAACAAAGAACAGAAAGCGAGGGCAGAGCTCAGTCTGTCACAGTTCTGAGAGGCAGACTGGGATGGGATACCCGGGGTGGCAGTCTCTGTGAATGAGCTTCTCTTTGGGCCACAAGAAGCCCTAACCCAAGCGGAGGCGAAAGGTGGCGATCTCCATGGGCTCCAGATAGAGGTCCGTGCTATTGGAGGGTGAGGCCAGCAGGTACAGCAGGGTCAAAGAGGTTGGCTGCAGGAACACCACATCCAGGCCGTGGAAAAGGCTTCCCAGGGCTACCTGTAGGAGAGAAGGACGCCGGGCGTGGTAGCACATGCCTACAATCCCAGCGCTTGGGAGGCTGAGGCAGGAGGATCATTGCAAATTCGAGACCAGCCTGGGCTACAAAGTGAGCTCAAGGCCAGCCTGAACCACACAGGGAGACCCTGTCTCAAAAAGACAAAAAAAGAAGGGCTGGGGTTATTGGGTGCTACCACACCAGCTAACATGTGCTTTGTCTATGTCGTCTCTCTCTGAGAATCAGAAGGTGTCGGGACAAGATAAAGGTGGCTGCTCTTATTTTTTTTTCAGTACCAGGAATCGAACTTGGGACCTTTCACTTGCCAGGTAGGCGCTTGTGCCACTGAGCTATATCCCCAGCCCTCCAGTTCTTGAAATTTTAACCAGAGCAATTAGGCCAGAGAAAGAAAGGAAAGGGATACAAACAGGAAGGGAGGAGTCAAATTATCCTTGTTTGCAGATCATATCATTCTATACTTATAATATCAACTAGAGCTAATTGATGAATTCAGCAATATGGCAGGATATAAAATCAATATTAGTCAATAGCTTAGTGAGGCAAGGTGGTGTACACCTGTAGCCCCAGCCCTTCGGGAGGCTGAAGAAAGAGGATCACAAGTTTAAAACCTGCCTGGGCAACTTAGTGAGACCCTGTCTCAAAGTTAAAACAAAACAAAACAAAATGCTAGGGATATAATTCAGTGCAAAGGTCCCAGGTTCAATTTCCAGTACTGGGAGAAAAAAAGTCAGTAGCTTTACTATATACCAATAATGGACTAGCTGAGAGAGAAATCGGGAAAATAATTCCATTTGCAATAGCTTCAGATAAAATCAAATACCTAGAGATCAATCTAACCCAGAAAGTGAAAAACCTCTGCAATGAAAACTTTAGAACACTGAAGAAAGAAACTTAAGAAGATGGGGCTGGGGATTTAGCTCAGTGGCAAAAGCGCCGGCCTGGCAAGCACAGGGTCATGAGTTCGATTCCCGGTACCAGAAGAAAAACAAAAAAACAGAAAACAAACAAAACAAAAAGAAACTGAAGAAGACACCGAGACATGGAACGACCTCCTATGTTCATGGACTGGTACAATTAATGGAGTCAAAGTGGCCACATTATCAAAAGTGATGTACAGATTCAATGTAATTTCCATCAAAATGGTAATGACATTATTCACAGAACTAGAAAAAAAATTTTTAAATTCATTTGGGGTGGGAGGAAGAATTCATTTGGAAACACAAAATAGCCAAAGTAGCCAAAGCAACTCTAAGCAGTTACAGGAGGGCTAGTGGCATCACAATACCTGATGTCAAATTATATACACAGCCACAGTAACAAAACAGCAGGGTACTGGCACAAAAATAGACACACTGACCCATGGAATAGATTCGAGGCCACACAAGCAAACTCACACAGCTACAGCCATCTGATTCTGGACAAAGAAGCCAAAAATATACACGGAAAAAAGACAGCCTCTTTCACAAGTGGGGCTGGGGAAAGAGATATCCATCTGGGGTTTTTTGTTGTTTTTTGTTTGTTTGTTTGTTTGTTTTTCCCAGTACTGGGAATAGAACTCACGACCTCGCGCTTGCCAGGCAGGCACTGTGCCGCTGAGCTAAATCCCCAGCCCCTGAGATACCCATCTGAAGAAGATTGAAACTAGATTCCTATCTCTTACCCTGTACAAAAATCAATCAAAATGGATCAGAGACCTAGGTATTAGACTTGAAACTTTGTAGGGTGTTTTGTTTCTGTTTTTTTGAGACAGTGTCTCACTAGGTAGTGCAGGTTGGCCTTAAACTCACTTATGTAGCCCAAGCTGGCCTCCAACTCATGGCAATTCTCCTGCCTTAGCCTCTCGAGTGCTGGGATTATAGGTGTGCGCCACCATTCCCGGCTACTAGACTTGAAACTTTGAAACTGCTAAAAGAAAACACAGGGGAACACTTCAAGCCATTGGCACAAGCAAAGACTTTCTGAATAGTCTCAAAAAGCACAGGAAATAATGATAAGAACCAACAAACAGGACTACATCAAACTAAAAAGTTTCTGTACACCAAGGGGAACAGACAGCCTGCAGAATGGGAGAAAATCTTTCCCAGTTATTCTTCTGTCAGAAGTAATACTGTATCTAGAAATGTAGGTATATATAAAATAAATTAACACCAACAAAACCAAATAGCCTAATCAATAAATGGCCAAAGGAACTGAACAGACATTTCTCAAAAGCACAAATGACCAATAAGTATATGGAAAAATGCTTAACATCTTTAGCCATTAGGGAAAGCCAATTAAAATGATCCTGAGAGTCCTTCTCACCCCAGGCAGAATGTATTCATCAAAAACACAGAAGCCGGGGATCCAGCTCAGTGGCACAAGCGCCTGACTGGCAAGCACAAGGTCCTGAGTTCAATTCTCGGTACCAAAAAAAAAAAAAAGAACACAGAAAACAGGGACCAGGGATGTAGCTCAGAGGCACAGTACTTGCCTGGCAAGCACCAGGCCCTGAGTTCGATTCCCGGTGCTAACAAAAAAAAAGTACAGAAGACAACAATGCTGGTGAGGATGCAGGGGGAGGGGTGGTGGGAGGGGAGGAACCCTTTTACATCTGGTGGGAACATAAATGAGTACAGCCATCTGGTGGGAACATAAATGAGTACAGGAAATCAGTATGCATTCCTCAAAACGCTAAAACCAAGCTACCACTAAATCCAGCTAAAGCACTCCTTGGTATACGCCTGAAGCAATGAGTTAGCATACCACAGAAACACCCGCATACCCATGTTTTTTGTGGCACAATTCATAATAATCAAGATATGGAACCACCCTAGGTACCCAACAGTGGATTAATAGGTAAAGAAATATGGTATAATGTATATATATACAATGGAGTGCTATTCAGCCATAAGGAAGAACAAAATTCTGTTCTGTGCTGGAAAATAGGTGGATCTGCAAACCATCAGGTTGAGCAAAATAAGCCAGACTTGGATAAATACCGCACATTCTCCCTAACATGAGGAATCTAGAAAAACGGCAAGAAAGAAGGGAGATCATTACAGCCAAGAGGAAGGGAATGAGGGTAAGGGCAATGAGAGGCTAGGCAGGATAATGGGGGACGGATGTGAGCAGAATACACTGCATGCACTGCAGCCCCCCAATGTGCAGTGAGAGGGAGTGGGCCAAAGGCGGTGACAGGGAGTAGTAATGATCACATCTGTCCGTGCAGGTACAGCTCTGCACAATGAAAACCATGAATCTGTGTAGCTGATACAAGAAAAAAGAGTAAAAAAATATAATCTGAAGGGCCGGGGTACAGCTTAGCGATGAGTGCTTGCCTCGCTTGTGCTCGGCTGGGTTCTGTCCCCAGGACTGTAGGAAAAACAAATCTGCCGGGAGCTTTGACCTTCCAGGAGCAACATGCTTCTCACACGTGTCTGTGGCCAGTCTCAGGCTCCCGGAGATTCGCCGAGCCCCAGAGCCTGCCCATGCGTCTCGGGGTGGGAATCGTCACAGCAAGTACGAGTCTTTGAGGACAGGGACCATGGTCACTTCTGCATCAGTGGCGCCCTGCGGGTGCATTTATCAGCACCGTCTGAGACTGTGGGTAGAGCTTCCAGAGGAAGATGCAGTGGTTTTTTTTGTTTTTTTGTTTTTTTCCCCCTGGTTTTTGGTTTTTTTTTCCGGTACCAGGAATCGAACTCACGACCTTGAGCTTGCTAGGCAGGCATTGTGCTGCTGAGCTAAATCCCCAGCCCTGGGTTTTGATTTTTTATTTCTGGTGCTTCCCACTTTGCTTGGTTCAGGGCCCTATGCCTTGTTTGGAACTGCCTGTCAGGCCTCAGTAACTGCATACGCATGTCAACTGCTTTCCCCTTTCCTTCCCAGCGCGCAGGAGTAACTTTCTTTCTCTCTTTCTTGTTGAAACAGGGTCTCACCAAGTCACTAAGTTGAGCTGCAACTTGTGGCCTCTCTGTCTCAGCCTCCCACAGTGCTGGGAGTACAGGCGTGTGCCACCGCACCTAGCTTGGCACGACATTTCCTTCTCCCACCCTGCCACCCAGCTCACCCCGGCCTGGCTACCTCCAGCGCTGGACCTCCCTACCTGCCTCTCTGCAGAGCTATCACTCCCACACCCGGGCCTGCTCACCTTGCCTTGGCTTGTGGTGCAGTTGAACCCCAAGTTCTTGGCCTCAAGACCACAGTCGAAACCCTTGCGGTGTAAAATGAGCGCGGTATCTGCTGAGGGCAAGTTATCCTCCTGGGACAGCGACAGGAAGAGGGCAGTGAAAGGCAGGCTGGCCCAGGGACAGGGGAGGGGCTGGAATCTGGCCTTGGAGACCAAGGCTGAGCGGGGCGCTCACCTCAGCCTGGAGCATGCGCAGGTTGAGCAGGTGGAAGTCACAGGGCAGCGAGGACGCCAGAGGATGAAAGGCGCGCAGACTAGGGCCTGGGGATGGTGTCTTGGCAACAGGCAGGGTGAACACCTGGGTATTCAGGTACATGGAGGTCAGATGGCTCAGGAGGGATGGGTAGCTGGTGGAGCGGCCATCCTGGACCTGCGGGCGGGGCCGAGAGGTGGGTGAGGGCACAGCCATGCTGAGGGTGAAGAGGAGGTTGGCACAGCATATCCAGGCCCCCTCCTTTGCAAAAAGCCTTCCTAGTGGGTCTGGCACCAGGCCTTGTACCTCTGACCCTCCATGGGTGGCTACTTCTCGTGGCGCCCAATTCAGAGAGCCAACTTTTTTCTGGTATTTTTTTTTGCTTCTGTAACACTGTCACAAGCAGCACACTTATCAGCAACATCTCCCATCAGAGAGAGACAGACAGACAGACAGACAGGGAATGTAAGGCAGACAGATTCACCCTTCTGCCTGCATGAGTGGAACAGAAGGGTGGGAGATGAGCATCTGATGGAGAAAGTGCTCTGAGCCCTCTGGGATCCCCAGGGGGCCCCATGTCCACAGCGCCAGCCTGGTGCTCAGGGGCCTGGTCCCCGTGATTCTGCCCTTGATACTGCACTCACAGGCTTATGCGCAACTGTCCTCCAAAGCCCCCCGCTCTCTGTCCTGATTCCTGGCCCTACAACACCCAGAATCGACTTCCCTTTCCCCTCACCGGGCCCGGGAGCTGCTGAGCCCATTTTTATCCACCACTACAGGATACCAACAGCCACCCCAACTTCTGCCCACCCAAGGCTTAGCTCCAGTCCAAACCACCAACACTTCCTGTTTGAACAGCTTTCAAACTGTCCACGTGCTCCCTGGAGCTCGGGTCATTCCCTGAGGGCAGAGTCCTGACAGCGTCCCTCCTGTTCTGGCCCTTCTCCGGGCACCCAGGCTCTGTGGCCAGGCTTTCACGGCCACTGTACTGGGCCCAACCGCCCTACCGTGCTGAAGCCCAGCACCAGCCACAGAGCCTCCTGCACGGAAATTCACCGCCTTTGCACTTCTAAACAGTAGCACTTGGAACCACCGAGGAATGAAATGTGTCCAACAGGAATGAAAAACTGACTTTTTATTTCATTTTAATTCACCAGGGCGGCAGGGCATGGGGGCACACGTCTATAATCCCAGCACTCAGGAAGCTGAGACAGGGGGATCGCTTCAAGTTTGAGGGCAGCCTGGGCTACAAAGTGAGTTCAAGCCATCCTGAACTGCATAGCGAGACCCTGTCTCAAAAAGACAAAAACAAACAAAAAAGACTAACTAATTCACCACGGTAGCCCCATGTGGCTGGTGACTACACACGAGACAGCACAGCTGTGGTGTAACTGAAGGAGCTCGCTGCCAGTCCCCATGCCACGCCTTTGGGCCGCCCACCCGGTCAGAGCTAAGCCTGGCCCACACCTCCACTAGGATGGTGTCTGTGACGTCCAAAGGCCCCGCTGTGGTCTTCTCCTCAGGACCTGGTACACATGGCCCTTTCTACCCCGACCCCACTCATAAATAAGTTCCTAGAGCCAGCGGCACCATTTCCCTCAGCTCCTAGCACTGCAGGGGCTCAGCGTCTACATGGTGGGCGTGGTTAAACCATAGACCTCAGGGCACCAAGCAGTGGGCTCCAACTACAGGGACAGTTTGCTGGGCATTCCAACCATCCACCCTTACCTCTCGGCCACCGCTCCTGCTGCTGGGAAAGATCAAGCCCCTAAACATGGCTGCCAGTTTGTAGAAACAGCCAGGCTGGTGGGGTAAAGAAAGCCATGAGATGAGCGGGGACGGGCAGAGGGTTAGAGGGCGGGGCAGGGTGGGGGCAGCAGAGAGGGAGGCGGGAGACAACATGGGGGCACAGGCGACAGTGGGACTGCCAGGGTGCATGAGATGGTCAGCGAGAATGGTCAGCGAGATGCAGACGGCTACCTGCCACAACCCGGAATTAGCCCTGCTCCACTGTCCCTTCCTTGGGCCCAAGGCTGGAACCCCCCGTCACCGTGTGACAAACCTGCCCTGGCCCCTGGGCACTGGGCCTAGGTTTACCTCACTGCCCATGGTTCGCCGTTCAAGCAGGAGGCGGAAATGGTTCCAGGTTCTCTTGTTGTCCTTCAGCCCTTGGCCCAGGCCCCGGTTATCATCCTGCATCAGCCGCCTGTCCAAGATCACCTCCAGCTGACCTGGGGGAGGAAGGAGTGAACCCCAGCCTGCCACCCCGCTGCACCCCACCCTGGAGCAGGCGGCTTCCCTCAAGGAAAAGCCCAGAAGAGAGACCAGGAGCTCAGGCAGTCAGGAGCCTGGAGCTGGGAGGGCTGAGAGACGGTGGCCCTGTGTCCCTGCCTCACACATGAGGAAACGGCAGGCCCAGAAAGCACAGTCACGCTCCGTGACTCCGGAGCCCCAGCAGGAAGCCCTATCTGGACTGGTCACATAGAACCAACCAGGCAAGCGGGGCACTGAGAGTGACACCGTGCCCAGGGTGGCCACACATTCCCTCTCTGGCCCAGGTTTTGAGGGCTGTGACTCAAACCACCTCCCACCCGTGCTCTACACGGCAGGGGACAGCCAGAAGGCTGGCAAGCCAGACACCAGCTCTGACGGCCTCGTCTGTCAGAAGTCAGGCTGTAGGGAGGACAGCCAGACGGCGGATGAGAGGCTCAGAGGCCTTGGGGCTCCCTGGGGGACACAGGTGGCTGATGGTCCCCTCTGCTTGCCTTTTGCTTTTTTTCAGTATTGGGATTGAACTCAGTCCCCACTAAGTTATATCCCAGTCCTTTAAAAAAATTTTTAAATTTGAGACAAGGCCCTGGGTTCAAGCTCTAGTACTATGGGGGATTAAAAAAACAGAACATCATCCTCTCCTTTTTTCTTTTCCTAAATATTTCATAAAATATTGAGTATGCTTTCAAACTGTCCCTGCAGGCGCTCCTGCCGGGAGAATGGTCACACACCTCAGCTAAGAGTCGCCATTCAATACCAGGTGCCTCTTGAGGGACCGCATGGGACTCCCCACCCACTGCCTGTGTCAGGGGAGAGGGTGACAATGGTGCCTGCTGCCTTGCATCCAGGGAGACCGACCAGAGCTGTGGATGCCCCCTCATCCCTCTCCAACAGGGAGGTGACGGTGACAGGGAAGAAGTGAGGGAGGGAGGCCGTGGCAGGGGACAGGCCTCGACGGTGGGTGGTTGCTTCTCGTCGCGGACCCCCGCAGACCTCCTGCTCCCTACTCACCATCACTGAGGCTGGAGACGCCCAAGGCCTGGGCCGTGTGCAGCGTGAGGCGCTGCTGCGCATCCTGGATGTAGGCCATGACTGGCATGGGGTAGAAGTTGGCCTGCAGGGGCAGCTTCTTCAGATACCGCCGGCGCTGCACCTGTGGGCCGGCCCAGCCAGTCAAGGGCGTCCGGGCACCATCTGGGCCCTCAGGGTCCCTGATCACTCTTGCCTCACTTGTCAGGGCCACCAGTACAGTCCCCGTTCTGCACCGGGGGTTCAGGCATCACCTGAAAGCCATTGAGGTCTGTGAAGAAGATGCCCTGGCTGTCAATGTCCGTGTGGATGCGCAGGGCCAGCTCCTTGTTGACATAGTCCCGGATGTCCACCAGGAATGACATATCCACAGACAGTCCCTCTACCCCTGGGCACACAGGGGAGACAAGGGGAGAAGGGCAGAGGAGCACAGCTTGCGAGCCATGCTGGGGACACTGCCCAACCTCCCAGGCGAGTCCCAGGGACAGGGTCTCTGGTGACCTTGTCCCAAGACACTAAGCATCCCCGACTCAAAAGCTCCATTTGCGGGGCACAGATGTATGAACACAGAAGGGGCACGAGGGGCACAGGCCACAGCCCGTGGGCCCCACACTTCCTCCACAGCCCCTCTTCACCTGGCAGGTTGTACAGTCGGACCACCTGGTGAACGTGCTCGTAGTAAGCGACCACCTCTGAGAAGAAAGGACCCTCAGTGACACGCAGCAAGGGCGGTTTCTTGGGGACGTAGGGCTGGGGAAAGAGGCGGCAGCCACTGAGCCCGAGGCACGGACAGACAAGCAGTTAGCGGCCCCAGGTCAGTCAGGAGATGTTCTCATCCCATGAGACTCTGCCTCACACCCTGGGCCCCACTGTGACTGCTGCCCGCCCACTGGCCTCCCTCCCATGGTGGCAGACAAGACCTCAGCAGGGAGCAGTCACCCTGGAAGTGCTGTGCCCCTCTGCACAGCCCTGTTAGGGACACCTCCCAGAGCCCGTCAGGTACCTTGGCCTGGTCATCAGGCAGGAAGAGGTAGGCGCCGCTCTTGTCTTTGGACGCACGCGTGCCATAGATGAGGAGCCTCACGTCTATCCGCTGTTCCTGGTCCTCGTCCACCCTTTGGATGCTCTGTCAAAAACCACAGCCTGACCCCTGGCCCCAGGCCAGCACACCAGGCCCGGCCTGGGGCTACAGCCTGTATCTCAGGCTCCCCAGAGGCCCTGTGTTAAGGGCTCGCTACCTGGGGGGCTGCAGGGAAGAGGCGGAAGCCAACAGGCAGGCCCAGAGGAGGCTTGGGGTCACTGGAGTGCCCCTCCCATCTCCTGTGTCCTGCCCACAAGGGGGCAGCTCTGCTCTACCACACGATCCTACCATGATGTGCGGCTCCCACAGGCAGGTCCACCAGGCCAGGGGCCAAACCCCTGAAATTGTGGCTAACAAGAACCTGCACTCTTTATAGGTTGATGATCTCAGATATCTGTTATTACAGTAACAGCCTGACGCATCCAGCTTTCCAGACTGCTGGCTGGGCACTGAGACAGCCCACGCCTGGGTCCCCGTCAGTCACTCAGGTGGAGCAGGCGCAGCCACACCAGCACGTACGTCCTCCTCCACTCCTGGCCCTGCACAGCACCCCTGGCCCTTTACCTTGAGGAGCCCGGTAAGGCCTGAGAACCAGACCTGCATGTAGCTGTTGCTGAGGGTGAAATCACCAGTGCCCGAGTTGATGACACGGATGGGGAAGGCTTCGTGCCTGCTGACCGACAGCCTCTGGCCATGCAGGTAGACACGCACAGAGGAGGGCAGTGTGCGGTGTGTGTCCAGGCCCTGCAGCAGCTGCAGCACACTTAGGCCCAGGGCAGGCAGGCGGAGAGGCACAGACACCTGCGGGCACGGGCGGGGTGAGGACACAGGCTGGGCCAAGCATCTGTGGGTCCCAGTCTCAGGCTTCTGTTTCCTAACAGAGAGCCTGGACAAGTCCTGCACCCACCGGAGCCTCTGTCCTCTCCTCTGTAGCATCCCTTCTTTTTATTTTATTTTATATTTTTTTTGGTTTTTCTTTTTTCTGGTACTGGGAATCAAACTCACAACCTTGCGCTTGCCAGGCAGGTGCTGTGCCGCTGATCTAAATCCCCAGCCCCATTAACACTGCTGAATGTGTTTTCTTTCTTTCCTTCTTTCTTTTTTTTTGTACAGGGAATCGAACTCATGACCTCAGGCTTGCCAGGCAAGCGCTTATGCTGCTGAGCCCTGGAGCACCCCTTCTTGTTGGTTAGGCTTTCTCAGTCTCAAATGACATTTGAAAAATTATAAAGCAGCATCAGGCAGCGTGGCCTATACCTGTAAACCCAGCACTCTGTGAGGCTAAGGTAGGAGGACTGAAGTGTGAACCCCGCTTGGACAATTTGGTAAGGTCCTGTCTCAAAATAAAAAAGGGCTGGGAGATGCAGCTCAGTCTGAAGGCCATGGGTTTAATCTCCTGTCATGAACAAAACAAGACCCTACGAAGTGGTGATCACATTAGACTTCCAATAAATACTGGCTATGAGGTAGTGTGCATCTGCAGCGCCAGCCTTTTGGGAGACTGAGGAAGGAAAATCACCTGAGCCCAGGAATTTGAAGCCAGCCTGGGCAACACATGAGAGAGACCCTGTCTCAAATAATTCAGTAAATAAAGACTTGTTGAATGAATGGATGGTGGGGTATTGTAACTGACATTTTTATTATTATTACTATCTTCCTTTTAAACACTCAGTGCCCAAGAGCGTCCTCTGGGCAGCCCCTGTCCCCAAGACACTCACCGCTAGTCTGGGTAGTAGGTGGGGCCGTAGCAGGGAAATAGGAGGTGGGTGACAGGCAGAGGGAGGACCTGGGGGAAGGCCACTGCAGACAGAGCCCTGCCTCACCTGGTAGACATCAGGGACCATGTTGGTGGCCGAGCTCCAGTGGGCACTGATCTGCACGGCCAGCGGCTGCCCGTCCTCCGACAGGACACGGACGTGGGGCGAGCTGACCAGCAGGGACACCACACTGAGCCGCTCCTGCTCCAGGGGGTTGAAGAGCACCACAAACCTGGGGGTGGGGGGTGACAGGGCAGGGCCAGTGGGCAGGACAGAGTCTGTGGCTGGGGGACAGGTGCAGAGTGGGGACGAGACCAGGGACCTCGGGGCACCTGGCCTAGTGTGGGTCACCTGGGTGAGGCGTCTAGCTGGATTACTGTACGCTCCGGCAGGGCGTCGTAACTGGAGCGGGTGTCGTCCTAGAGCAAAGCGGGCAGAGGGAAGAGGCATCAGGCAGCAGGCCTTCTCCCCACCTGGCCAGAGAAAGAGACGACCCCAAGCAGATCCAGTGGGGCTCACCACTTGGAGGAAGGGTGCCCCAGGCTCAAAGCGGTAGGTCCCCTTGTCCCCCAGCACCAGGTAGTGGGCTGCATTGATGATGACCTGCTTCAGGCTGACGAGGGAGCGCAGGAGCCTGTGTGGACAGTGGAGGGCTGGGAGACGATCACAGGGCCGGGCCTCCACAGCCGGCCCACCACCCACCAAGGGACCTCTCTGCAGCCGTGGGTGCGGGGAACGAGGTGGGGCTTCGAGGGGGGGGTGCCCACCTGACCCCATAGTCCATCACCACGGCCTCCTTGGCAGTGCCGGTGATGGCGTCGTGGTGCTGGAAGAGCCCCAGAGTGCGGCGGGCCTCCGTCAGGAGAGCGAAGTCGGACAGTGGGTACCGGGAAGCTAGGCCAGAGCGGCGGGCGTGTGCCACGGCCAAGCTGTACAGGATCTCTGCCCCCCTGCGGACAGAGGCGTCACTGCCTGCCACCTGCCCCGCACTGCAGGCCAGTCCCCTTCTCCCTGCGTCACTCCTCTGCCATGTTGGCCTCCTGCAGGCCCAGGTGGGCTTCAACCCCAAAGGCTGAGTCCCCCGAGCCTACGACGGTAGGCATCTCACCGTAGGTGGGCTTCCAGGACTCGATCCAAGCTCTTGTAAAAAGGCCGGGAGGTGTAGTAGCCCGTCCAGTAGTGGTCGTCACGGTCCGCGTAGGAGAAGAAATCCCCGCTCAGCACTGGAAACCCTGGGGGCCGGGCCCCGGGCTCCACCCCCGTCCTCTTGTACAAAGCATCAAAATAGTCTGAGAGGGTGCCAAACTGGGCCTGTGGGGACCCCCAAACCAACTCCCATGAGTCGCAAGGCCTCCTGGGAATTCAGGCCACCAGTGCTGCAGCAGCTGGGGAGGGGTAACTATGGCCCACCTTTCTGTGCCTCACAGGCAAGCCAAGACCCTGGGAATAAATCCTGAGCCCAAGAGTGGTAACAAACCCCGGCTGGGGGCCAGCTCTGAGGAGCAGGGGTTCTCCCGGGAAGGCCCCAGGCTGCAGCACCAGGAGCCCCCACCCCGCCAGTCAGCGTCCCCACCTGCACGTGGAGGTCTGGCTGGCTGTTAAGGAAGTCAAAGAGTCGCTGGTAGCTGAAGAACTGGGCGTCCCACTCTTGAGGCTTGTCATATCGGAAGTCATCACCCAGGGGCACCAGCAGGACATTGCTTCGGAACAGCCTGGACTTCTTCCGGTACTGGTCTAGGAGCAGGGCTGCCCTGAGGGGAGGACAGGATGCAGGCCTCATGATAAGTCTGAGGGTTACGAGATCAGGGAGCAGAGCTACCCCGAGCAAGTGTCAGGCCTCTGTGGAGCTGTCTGGCCCGCAAGGACACAGCCCGGAGTAGGAAACCGGTGCCTGGGACCCAGCGTCCTCTGGACAATTTTTCTTTATGCTGAGCTTCGATTCTCCTGACCCTGCCTCTGCGTCTTTTCCTATAATTATCTTCCAGATACAGCAGTGATGCCTGAGCTTTCTCTTCCTTCAAACCTGGTATAGTTTATAATGTGTTCCTCTGGCCAGCATCCCGAGCCAGGGGCTCAGAACTGCATAAAGCGGGGAGGGTAGTGCAGGGCAGTCAGACCTCTCTCAGAACAACCCCTGCCTCACCGCCCACAGGAGCCCCTCAAGGTCACCTGCCACCATGCTCACAGTTACCATGCTTTCTGTGTGTGTAGCTCAGCACGGCCTTTTCACCCTGAACTTCCCATTCTGCTTTCTAAAGCCAAGAGTGGTGCCTTTGTAGCTAATAAATCCCATCTGGTTTGGGGGATCCCAGCTCCAATGAGTGAAGTTGCACCACACTTCGATTAAAGAGTTCAGGCTCAGCCAGGTGGGGCAGTACACGTCTATTATAATCCTGGTACTCTGGGAGGCTGAGGCAAGAGGACCTCAAGTTTGAGCCAGGCCTGGACATATTAGGAACTCAGCAAGATGTTTTCTTAAAATAAAAAATATAAACTAAAATAAAAAAGGCTGGAGATGGAGCTCAGTACAAAGGCCCAGTGTTTGCCCAAATACCTGTACCACCTCCCCAAAAAAGAACCCAGACTTTGGAGCCAGATTATGCCAAAACCAGCTCCACATGTTCTAGCTGAGTGACCTAGGCAACTTCTCTGGGCTTCTTTCTGGTAAAATGAGAATAATGGAGGCTGGGGGTTTAGCTCAGCGGCACAGCATGTGCCGGGCAAGCGCAAGGTCGTGAGTTCAATTCCCGGTACCGGAAAAAAAAAAAAAGTAAGAGAATAATGTCAGATAACATCATAATCCTTACTGGTATCATTAACCCTCACAATGTTACGAGAATTAAAATGAATGAACGCATTAATATTTAAGCACTTACAGTGGTGCCTGGCACACAATAGGACTATTCATAGCCATCTGGGTTTTTTAATCAATATGACAGATAAAGTCAAAGGACAAGTAGAGACTTATAGCACAACATTAGACATTCCTTCCTGTTTTTGTTATCATTGTTGTTGTTGTTGTTGTTGTTGTTATTATTATTATTATTATTATTATTAGTGTTGCTGGGGATGGAACCCGGGGACTTGTACATGCTAAACAAGTGCCCTACCACTAAGCTACATCCCCAGCCCTTCCTGTTTTCCTGTTTTTATTTTTTATTTATTTTTATTTTTTTATTTTTGGTCTTTTTGAGACAGGGTCTCATTGTGCAGTTCATGCTGGCCTTGAGCTCACTTTGTATCCCAGGCTAGTCTTGAACTCACCATGATCCTCCTGCCTCAGCTTCCTGGGTGCTGGGATTACAGGCGTGCACCACCACGCCTGGATGTTTTCCCGTTTTTAGATCAACCTATTAAGTGTCCTTTGAAGGGTATCATGGTTTGGGCACTAGTCTACTAACTGTGTTGGCCTGGCTTGCCTCTACTTTATTTCTATTATATTCTCAAGAGAGACCCCCAAAGAAAACCCATCCCTGATCTATCAGTGCCCAGGGAACCTCTCAGTCCAGGAAGCCTCTCGGATCAGGGAGCCACGTCCTCCCTGGCCTGCTCTCTGAGAAGCGGGCCAGCCTCAGAGAGGGCAGCTGCTGCTCTCAGAGAGTCGTGCCTGCTTAACAGCCAGAGGTTCTTTCTGCAATCAATGTTTAGATTTCTAGAAACAAAAGACCACTTTCTTTCCTTCCTGGCCACATGAAAACCAGTTCAACTTGTTACATTCTTAAGGTTCTGGCTAAATCACTGTTTAGGTCACAGGTAAACAGCACCTTTGGGGATGGCGGGGTGATTTCAGCCGCACAGACATGGCTGGAGGGCCCTAACTACTCTTTCAGAGGGGACAGGGAGGCCGAAGGCCGCGTCCGGGGGACTAAATGGTGATGTGAGTTGGCTGTGGTTCACTGCACACAGGATCCTGCTGACTTCCAGCCAAGTCAGGATACCTGGGCCAAGGAAAGGCACATTAGCCTGAGGTTTGTAAGAAACTGTACCAATTTACAAGCCATTTGTCTCTGATCAGTTGACTGGCTCTGACAGTCCGTCAGGATATGGGAAAAACATCCCCGCTGGGGACAGTAAGAGCTTTCTGGGAAAGGTGGTTCCTGTACGCCACGCCAGTTTTCCAGGGAGACTTGCAAGGAGCTGAGCTCACACCTGAGCCCGCCCTCCATTTTCCAGCTGAGGCTGGCATCCCGTAGCTCCCCAGCACCGCATAGCCCAGACCAGAGGCCGGGCCCCCTGGTTCCTCTGTAGAGTGAAAAATGAACACCATGCCCAGGCCAGGGCTGGAAGCCAATGCCTACCTCTCTGCCACGTTGGCCTCTGTGATGGCCCGGGGAGGCACCTTCCAAGGGCAATTGATGCGCCCACCCGGCAGCCGTTTGAAGTCGAACTGGCAGCAGATCTTGGGGTCGGGTCCACAGGTATGGGGGATGTCATAGCTGTAGAAGGGCATCATGTGGCAGAAGATGTCTGTGCTGGAGTCGGAGTCTGCAGAAGACACACCATGCGGTCAGCCATCAGTGGGCAGCCTCGGGAGCCGGGCACAGGGATGTCAAGAGGGCATGGACCTAAAGGCAGCCCTGACAGATGGTGGAATTCTAGGGGGACTCAGGCTATGGGACTTGCAGGCAGGGGACAGGACAAAGGGCCCTGAAGGATGCACAGGGAAGCTCACAGAGGCCAGAGGTCAGTGTGACCCGCCCCTACCGCAAAGGACAGACCGCTCTGGTAGGGTGACCTGAGGGACCGTGGGCTCGAATTGCTGACTGCCCTGCTCTTCCCCAGGGAAGGCTGCATTGCTCAGACCCCGCTGCCCTACCTGGCCTTACCCCATGTCTGCCTCCACATGAACTCCAGGTTGTGGGTGGCTGCAAAGTGCTTCTTGATGGCATAGTGCACCCTCTGAATCAGCATGCTGGTCAGGTTGGCGCGGCGCAGCAGGTACGGCACGGTGGAGCTGTGTCCGAAGGGATCCACTGCCCAGCCAGAGCGCGGGGTCACACCTGGGCATGGGGTTAGAGACCCTGAACGCCTCAGAGTCACAGGGCCTGGCCTCGGCCTCACCCAGCTATCAGAACTCCAGCTTCTGCTTTGGCAGGTACTGGAAGATGCCACTATATCAGGGCTGCATTAGCCTAGAAAGGAACCATCCCCGCCAGTCCCTGTGCCTTACTGTCCCTTGTCACCATACCCCAGGCCCAGCTGCAGGGTGACCCCCACTATCGGTCCTGGACATACCGAGGTTTCTCTCCAGCCACTGGTGTCCCTCGATGAGCTGGTCAATCAGCGCAAAGTAGTGGGAGTTGGCCTCGTCTGGCATCACCCAGCCTCCCGTCACAATCTCCAGCTGCCCGTTTCCCACCAGCCTACAGGGGAAGCCACATTCAGGATGGAATGGGGACCGATGCCCAGTCCTGCCAACCAGATGATGCCAGTGTCTGCACGCACTGGTGTCATGGCCAGTCCACCTGAACCTGGGACCAAGCGCACAAATACTGGCCTTCCTTGCCCGCTAGCCTATCCCACGTCAGTCGGGAACCTGCACGTCACAGGATGGTGTCTGTGCTCCCAGGGTGTGACCTCATGCCCTCTCTCCACTTAGTAGACTAGTGCCCAAACCATGATACCCTTCAAAGGACACTTAATAGGTTGATCTTAAAAATGCTGCAGTAGGGGCTGGGGATTTAGCTCAGCGGCACAGCGCTTGCCTGGCAAGCGCGAGGTCGTGAGTTCAATTCCTGGTACCAGAAACAAAACAAAACAAACAAACAAAAAAATGCTGCAAAAAAAAAAAAAAATGCTGCAGTAACTGGTGTCTCTGACACTAGTGACCCCCACACTGTCACCCTCATCTCTGTGTAGCTCCCTGCCTCACCAGCACTTCAGCATTTGGCAGGACCTTCCCACCCTGCCCAGGACTCATATGACAGCCCCCAGGCCTTCACCCCTGCCACTGGCCTTCGGACTACTGCCCTCTTTTGGGCATTGATGTTGTCCCACCACTTGGCGAAGAAGGAGACTTCCGCCCAGAGGAAGCGCCAGCGGGAGTCCTCCTGTAGCTTGGACACCATGCTGTTCAGGATGTGCTGGGTCTGCTCCGTGTAGTACTTGTCGAAGGTCTTGATCCAGCCTGGGGGGCCGACAGGGGAGCCCCTGAGGACACTACCTCCTCCTCCAGCTGCCCACCCTCCCCCAGCTCCTGGTACCCACACCACAGGCTCACCTGGGTCATTGTGAGAGTGTGGCACCACGAACACCTGCAGGTCCTCGGCATCCCAGTCGTGCGGGCTGTAGGAGATGTCGAAGCCTTGCCTCCACACGCCACCTTCCACATTGTCAAAGGGCAACTCCTCCGACACCATCAGCATCTGCGGGCAGGACGGCAGCTCAGCACCCCAACTGTGCCCACTGCAGGTAGGTGCCAGCACCTACTCTTACCTGCAGGTCTGGCTTCTGACCCCGGCCCCCCAAAGCAAACTGGCAGTCCTGGGGGGACACAGAGAAGAAGCTGGGCCGGGGCTCTGGGGGCACCACCCAGGAGCCATTGGCCATGTGGTAGGGCAGCAGGGCGGGCGGGCCCTCCACATTGGCAGTCAGCTCCAGCACTGAGTCCTTGATGTGGCTGATGATCTCGTGGTTCTCTTCCAATAGCTGCTCCAGCTGCTCGATGCGGTTCTGCAGCACGGAAATTTGGCTCTGCCAAAAAACCAGAATGCACTCACCCATGGCTCCTTATGCTCCAGTCAGGGTGTCTGCCTAGGGAACACCTGAGGCCTGGCTGGGAGCCCTCCCCGTCAGGGGAAGCCAGACCACAGCCTTCTGGTGGTCTTTCTACCACATGCCCCAGTGAGTTTCCCCAGGTGTTCCTGAGGAACACCTATTTCCAGCTCCAGCAAAAGCAAGTTTTCTCAGCACCAGTCCCATGCACATCACTACTGAGGACTGGATCCACCTGGAAGCCCCGTATTCTCTAGCTCACAGATGGCAAAGATTTCGCCTCATGTGCAGTGATTGGTGCTGCCAGTCTGGAGCACAGTGCCCAGAAGGATCCATCACATCAGGGTTTAATGGTAGAGAATGCTGCAATCAATTAGCAATGTCTGCTGAGAACTCGGGGAGGACAAAGCAGCAACACACAATGCCATTTTTTATTTCTTTTTTTTTTTTTCCTCTTTTTTGCTTCCTACTTGGCTGCGGATGTAGCTCAGTGGTACAGCATGTATTTAGCACTCAGCATGGACAAGGCCCTGGGTTTGATCCCTGGCACCACAGAAGGAAGGGAGGGAGGGGGCGGGACGAAGACCTGCCTAGGCTGACATGACCCTCCGGCTGGGTGACGGTCCAAGCCCAGGTGACCTGTAGACACAGAGATCAATAGCTAGGCATGACTCACCCGGGGGAAGTTCCCACTGTTCTCGTGTCGGGCAGGGTCATGCTGCACTCGGTCCAGCATGAGGTAAAGGGAGAAGACAGCCACACAGAAGATGGCAGCCCCGCACACCGTCACCTGCTTCTTCAGCTTCATACTGGCCTCCGAGGGCACCTGGCAGAAGAGATGCCATCTGTAGCTTTGGCATGTGAAACCCTTCTGGTGGTCTTTCTACCACATGCCCCAGTGAGTTTCCCAGGTGTTCCTGAGGAACACCTATTTCCAGCTCCAGCAAAAGCAAGTTTTCTCAGCACCAGGCCTCCCCCGACCCCCGCCTCCACAAGTTGTGGATCCCGACTCAATCATGATTTCCTTCTCTTCCTTAAGACTCGGAAAAGAAGGGGCTGGGGATTTAGCTCAGCGGCACAATGCCTGCCTGGCAAGCACAAGGTCGTGAGTTTGATTCCCGGTACGGGAGAAAAAAAAAAAAAAAGACTCCAAAAAGAAAAGTAGCACATCTGGGACCGGTCCAGCCTGGACCTAGGAGCGGTTCTGCCATTGAGGTGGAGTAACACCCTCCCTCCGCTAAGCTGTAAAATAAATGGGTCCAGGGTAAGAGTCCCAACCTCCTGAGTACAACCATCTTCCCCGAGGTCTGGTGCCTGGTGCCTGTCCAGGCTCCTTGGCCATGTGCTTCCCCCTTAGATGAATAAATTGGTCTCTATTTTGTTCGACTTAAAGGTACAGCCATAACTAGGCATGGCGGTGCACACCTGTAATCCCAGCACTTGGGAGGTTGAAGCATGAGGATCACAAGTTCAAGGCCAGCCTGAGTATCTTAAAGACTTCTGTCTCAAAATTTTAAAAAAAAGCTAATATTAAAATTAAAAGGGCTGGAGATACAGCTCAGTGCAACAGCCCTCGGTTCAATCCTCAGTACTGCAAAATAAAATAAAGGTATAGCCAGAGGCCGAAGAGACTTAATAGTGTCTTTCCCCGGGTCCTGTGGGATCAGTCTCAGCAGACACTGCCTGGCACAGATTCTGTGTCAATAAGAACACAGAATACATTTCTAAAAAGAAAGGAAGACAGAGAGAGGAAAAAAGGAGGGAGGGAGCGACAAAAGGAAAGGAAAGGATAAAAGAAAGGAAAAAACGAAAAGAAAAAGGCTGAATGCACCTCAGTGGTGGAGCTCACCTAGCATGCGAGGTCCTGGGTTCGGTCCCCTGTATCGGAAAAAGAAAAAAGCAAGCCCCGTTTCCGACACATAGCCAGTCCTGCGTTCTCCCCGCGAGCACCGATTCCTGCAGTGCAAAACTTTGCGCCGCGGCCGGCAACGGGGGTCCCGGAGCTCGGGCGAGGCCTGCGGGCCACTCGTCGCCTCCTCCGCGCCCTGCCCTACTTTGCACGATCGGATTCCGCTCCGCAGCCTCCGGGCAGTATTTTTAGCCCTCGCGGCCGGGCCCAAGCCGGGGCGGGTGGGGCTGCACCTGCCCGGCTCCGCGCCCCGCCCGCCC